TGGCTGTTTGAACAGTGTATGTTTTATATGAAAAGGTATGCCCCATTTTATGTATTGCTAAAGATACCTATTGAATGCTCTAAGGGAGTTTCTTTTCTGATTGCACACTGATTGCAACTAAATATTCTTCAAGAGGTGAGTCAGTATGTGCCAGTATTAATGGAAACTTTTAGGTTCATCATTTTTTTTCTGGTTAGGTACTGCCCAGTTTTCAGAGGTCCTTTCGTGGCACGGTTGGGGTGTACACTGGCACAGGCTGGTGTTGGTATCTGTCTCCAGCTTTCTTGTAGCTGATTCTGGTGATAGTATTTGCACTTGGGGGACGACGACAGTGTCCTTTATTTCTGCCCTCTTTGACTGCACAAAGTGTCCTTGCACTGTCAGGCAGAATCCTGGAATTCCAAAGTGGTAGCTGTTTTTTTTCTAGCTGTTTTGGAGCTGACTTTTAGCAGCACAGAAATACTTTCTTGGTACCGTTAACGACTGACCGATCGCGCTCTGCACCCTCATGCCCTGGTGCCTGCTATCAGAGGTCAGAATACCTGACCACTGCATCAGATGCCTTCATGGCAAGGGGATGGGCAGTGGCCACCAGCCCTGCACAGCTGGAGCTGCAGGGATGGAAACCGAAGGGCAGCCGCTGCGGATGGGGGACTCCAGCTCCAGTCTGGTGTGGGTCTGGGGCTAACTGGTCCAGGCTGCAGCTTCCCTGTGCCCCTCAATGCTCGCCCAGGCAGCACGGAGGGACTTTTGTGCTCATTCCCTTTGAAAAAAGGCAAGGGAACCTGCACTTGGGATTCAAACAGTAAATATCTGCACCGCACATTAAAACCACAGCAAATTTATAAGAAGCTGCTCTCTGTGCTGGGTATTCTGTGTTCTGTGGCGATTTAATGCTGGTTTTTTATTTGTTAACATGTTGTCTCTGTAATAAAAAGAGTTCTCTATATTGATATATTTTATTTTCTTTGTAATAAGCCAAAAAAAGCTCATTGCTGGTGCCTTTTTTGCCTGGGGAGGACTCCCAGCCCGCAGCTGCACTCGTGAAACCAACAATGCGTAATGTCTTTGCAATTGCTCATTCACCATAGCTGAGTAAAGTCACAGAGCAAACACCGCAGGATTACCAAGAGAAAAAGAACAAGTAGCCAACAGAAAGACTTTTCAGGTACAATAACGAGATTATTTCCCTAGGCCTGGTTCCAAGGTAAGGACTAAGCTTTCGGCTCCATACACCTAATGTGGAAAAAGCCTTTGCCCCGTCTCGGTGGGACTTTGCTGCTGGTATCCTCTGCAAGATGTGTGAAGAACACACAGATCATTTTGTTACGGTTGCAGTTGCTTTACGGTTGCAACACTGTAGCCTTTTTCTTCAGTGACCTTTAAAAAATGGCAGCATTTTGCCCAAATTAATAGCACCCCAGGCTAAATTCTCCCTCTAGAGAAGGGTGTTGGTTGGATTGTTGCCACTGCTCTCATTTTTTGTTTCTTTGAATTGGAACTGAATGCATTGAATAAGGAAAGTAAAGACCTACAATGTTTGGACGTCATCCAGACCAAGAGCAGTGACAGCAGCGAGATGCGATGGAGGACACCCAGGAGATGGCCATGACTCGGAACCCACCATAGGGGCCTGAAGGACGTTTCTTCTTGTAACCAAAAAGAGGAGCCTGTCCGGCATCCAGGGTAAAGACAACCAATGACACTATGCTAGAGGAAATTGAAGTACTCATTTTTTTTTATGGTTTTAGTCCATGCTTGGGTCCTGCGCAAGCCTTCAGCCTGTGCTGTGCCACAGGGCAGACCTTCCTGCTTGGTGTTCAGCTCTTTTTTTGTAATCTTAAAATCTGTTGTTGTTCTAAGTACAATAAAGGCAGAATCTCATTTGTTGGAGCACTGCTCTATGTATTTGGCTTCTGTTTCAGTTATGTGCATAAAAACATTATCTGGTGTGATTGAATACTAGCTATTGAAGATGCCAGGAATAAGTAAGTGGGTAATTTTTCAGTGGACGAGGCTGTATGTTGGGTTATTCGTAGAGTATTTTTCACAGTCAGATTTCTCTATTACTCACATCTGAACTGTTAATTCATTTACATATCAATTAACTAATCCTTTCATATATGCCTCTTTGGGT